GTTCTCTCTTTTGATTTTATATTGGAGTGGCCGGATTGCTTTTGTCTTCAGGAGTTCCCACAGAGGCCCAATTCAGATGAGGGTCAGATATTTTCAGGCTTTCTACTAAGGTCCGAATCCCTCCAGGAACGATTTTGGCCTCAGAAATTTGGGGGTTGGACTGGCCTGGGAGCCTGGCCCAGGAAAGATGCTGGTGTAGGGCAGCTGGTGGCTGTGCCACTGAGAGATGCAAAGGCAGATGGGGTGGGAAGAGGCCCCAAGGACTCCTGGGTACTGCACTGAGGAGCTGTGTTGGTCTGGATGCAATGGATCAGGAAGAGGAAAGGTCAGACCCTGGGTCCCAGAAAGAGGGTGGCAGGTGGTGCAGGCTCAGGGAAGCAGAGGGAGGTGAGGGCGGGGCCAGGCACAGAAGCAGTGCTCCTGGGGCCCAGAGAAGGCACTTAGTTGGTCTGGATGAAAAGGATCAGGAAGTAGTATTGGCTCCCCAGGTGTTTGGGGCCCCAAGACAAGGAATGGGACAGGACCTAAACTAGGAGAGACCGGTGGGGGAGATGGGAGAGTGAATGAGGGTGGGGGAGTCAAGGTGCAGATGGCATGGTCGACTTACCCCTGAGAGAGGCCTGCGGGAAGGAGAGAGGCCTGTGGTGGGTGGTCGTTGTTCCTTCTTTTAAAACGGAAGAATAGTGAAGGGGTGAAACAGAATGTATGGAGTCTAATCTCTGACTAGCTGTGGGACATTAAACAAAGTGCTTTCACTTCTCTGTGCTTCAGTTTCTCCATGTGTAAAGTGCATATATCAGTAGTTTTCTGTGGGAAGTAAATGATAGATTACAAAGATGGCTTGTAGTGAAGTATTAGTACATCGGAAGAGCTGGAAAAATTACTTCATAATCTTTGTGAAATGTAATAGTAATTGCCAGCATCTTCCAAAAACTTTATAGCTTTTTTTTAAAGCAGAACTGTTCATAGAGCATGGAAATATCAAGCAGACCTGGCCTATCAAGTCAGGCTCTAGTTTATCTCCTGCATTCCTTTCCTGCTTGGGAATCACCAACAATTCTCTTGTTCAACAAGGTAAATGTCAAAGCTAGTTTGGCCAGTTTGTTTCTCTTCAGCCTTCCCAGTCTTAACTGTCAAGGCTTCTAATTCTGTGCCTATGCACTGAGGTCCAGAAATGTTCAGTCCAAAGTCCCAAAGCAACCAAAGAAGCATTGAGACTACTGCTAGCATCTGTATGTGCCTCAAAGACTTTCAGCTTCAACTCTTTCCATTCACACCTCCCCACTATAACTTTACCTCTTACTAGTGGCACCCACTGTGTTTGTCATGAGTGAGGAAGGTATAGAAAGATGGTGGGTTCAAGGACTCCATGAACTTGACCTCTACCATTGATTCAGGTAGCAGCTGTAGCTCCTCTGGGAGAAGGTAAAGACCAATGGCCCCAGGGAGCATGCTGGAGGGTGACAAGATTAGGGTGATTGGGAAGTTTCCTTCTGGTATAGGACCAGAGCTGTTGGGTGGGTCCACTGTTGGAAACCCTAGCATAGATGGTCCCCAAACTTGCCTGGTGCTCCTCGGTCCTAGAAGCAGGTCTTGTTGATGTCAGAGCCTTCCATCAGGCAGCAGAGATGGCACAGTGGGAGTAAAAGGAGAAGGGAGAGGTTCTCCAAGGTCAGAAGTGGTCACAGTGCTGCTGGAACCTGTGGGACTTGAGAGTGTATCTGGGAATGTTCTGAGGCTCTGACTAAGTAGTGGCCTGGGTCTGGTGGTTCTAGGGGGTAGAAGGGTTTGGAGGATATAGGGACTTGTGGTTCTAAGCTTAAAAAGTGATAAATTCATAGAAGTTGGATGAGATGGGACGCTAGGTCTAAGAGATGAAGAGATTTTAGTAGGCTTGAGCAGGATGATCCAAGGTCTAGGGTGTGGTAGATTTGGGGGGCTCTTAGGAACGGAAACCTTGGGTTTGATGTGTAATGGGTGTTTGAGTATTTGAAGTATGGAGACAGATTTTGGTTTTGTCAGGCTTTTGGGTGTCTGTGATATAGGTTCCCTAGGTTAAGAGTATGATGCAGCTTCTGGCTTGGGTTGTGATGGAGCACAAGGTTTGAAATGTTGTCAAATAAAGTGTTTCATAGTGCCAACACTGGGGTGGGCTGGGCTGACAGGATTCAGAAACAGACATGTGTCTTAGAATTAATGGGTGATGCAATACCAGGATTATGGTATAATGGTGTGCTGGGCTTCAGAGGCAACAGGACATTAGGACTTGAAGGCATAATGGCAAGAGGTTTTATCTTGAAAGTTGGTGGTGCCAAGGTGCTGGAATCATGTGGTACTAGAGTTTGGAGTTTGGTTGTACTGAAGTTGATAGGCTACTAGGGCACTGACCCAGTGGCTGTAGCTCTTTGGAACTGGGCACTTTCTTTGTAGCAAGAGTAGTAGTTGAAGTTGGATTCACAGGCTTTGATTTGGGAGATACCTTGGGGACCAAGGCTGGTTGTGCTGTGCCTGCTCCTAGGTCATGGTTGCTGTTGGATGAGGGTGTGATGGTGTCTGTTCCAGCTGTGGTGGATGGCTGTCTCATGGCTTCCTCGTTGGACTTCTCATGGTGCACCATGACCAGTGAGGTCAGAGGTGTGACAAAATTGTATTCAAGGGATAGGCTGAGGACTTTGGCAGCCAGAAGATGGCAAGTGGTAGTGTCATGGACTTTCCAATAGTAACATAGGCCCATAGGTGGTGGATAAAGTGGGCCACATCGAGGGCAGGCTCCCCTGGGCAACCAAAGTCTTTCTGACTGCTATTGGTGGCTTTCTCAGTATCGCAGGCCACAGGAAGCTGACCCTTGGGGCCACGGGCTGCCAGGTAGATGCCCAGTTCTTATTCACCTGGCTGCACATGGCTGGCCACTACTAGCTCTGAGCCACAAAAATAATTAGGGAAAAGGGCCCAAGGGGAGGCCCCAACCAAGCCACCCAGGTAGTCCAGATGCACATCTGCCAGCAGAGGCATGGGAATCTCCTCATAGAGGCCCTGTAGCTGCAGTGCTGCATCTGTGTCCTAATATATGTGTCGAGCTGCTCCCTGGTTCTCTAGGGACAAGCAGCACAGTAGTGAGAAGTCAGCATCATCCCAAAGGCCAAGCTGAAAAGTGATACCCTGCAGCTCAGGGCCTGATGGATGTTGGAAAGGATCACACTGGGAGCTGTCACACCAGCTGTGGGCTCCCCATCTGTCAGGAACATGATAAGAGGAATCTACCACATGCTGGGTCCCTTTCTAAGCTCCTGGTTGCTGTGGTTCAGGACTGAGGCAGCTGCCAGTAGAGCTGCATTCATATCAGTCCCTAATTGGGGAGAAGACTGTGAGACCACCTTCTCAGGCCATTTCCAACCCCGACTGCAGGCATTAGTACTGCACCAACTTCCCAGGCTCAGTCACACTTCATGTTTTCTCACACTATTCCTGCTGCTTACCCCTCCCAACTCCTTCACTCTCACCCTGACTCCATGAGATCTGAGAGCGGGACCCACACTCCCTTTGTTTTTATCCCTCTCTCAGATTGTCCTTTGCTTGTTTTTTAGGGTGGGGGATGTCTCATTCTCTTGTCATATGGCAGCCACCCTAAGACAGTACTGCTACTTTATTGCTACAGGAATAAAGAAAAGAGGGCTTAGATGATGGTGGTGGTAGTTGGGGGAGCCTTCTGTAATTATTGGAGGCAAGATTTAACAAAAGTCAGAACCAGGGCAGCAGCTTGCTCAAATGTTTGGAAATAAAATCTAGATTATTGATTTAAAAAGTCTTAGCAGGGCTGGAGATATGATTCAGCGGTTAAGAGCACTGACTGCTCTTGCAGAGGACCCAGGTTTGATTCCCAGCATCCACATGGTGGCTACTAACCATCCTTTAACTCCAGTTCCAGGGGAATCTGAAGCCCTCTTCTGACCTCCATGGCATTGCACGACATGGGCGCACTCATATACATGCAGATAATACACTCATACACATAAAATAAAAATAATTTTAAAAATATTTTTTAAAAGTGTTAGCAAATTTTTGTGAGTGTTTGCTTTAAGGAAGAGGAAACTGAGGTCAAAAGAGAAATATGCCCTAATGTTGGGACTGCCTGATACAGCGGCACCTTGGGCCTATGAGTTCCGAGACACTTCCGCAGCCTGACCTAGAGTGGGCCCACCTGTCTGGTCACTTTTGATCACTTGCCAAGATGGCGACTGGCAGAGGTTGGAGGGGAGGGACGAAAAGGCCGATCACCTGTACAGGATTGGCTCTGTCGGGCCCTTCCTCATTCCTGGCCCGCGGTGGGTGTGACCCCTCGACCAATAGGTCAATTACACAGAAGGTGCCTGTCAATCATGAGCTCAATTTCCCGCCTATGGTTTCTGCCTTTAAATATCAGCTCCCACTACAATAAAGTGTGTTCCTGCTCTGACTCGGCACCCGGCTCTATGTGCTTCTTTCGAGCCACGTGCTCACCATCCCGCTCAGCCCCGGGGGAAAACGTGAAAACGGATTATTGGCTGGCTCCGAGGATCCCCTTTTTCCCTCCCCGTATGTAGGAACCCGACATTTGGTGACCCCGACGTGATCCTTCACTAATTCTCTGCTGACGGGCCAATTGGTCTGCGGGTGAGTCACCCCCATAAGATATGGGGAAGGCCAATTCCAAGTTAGATTCTTCTCTTGAGGCATTAAGGCTGCTGCTTAAGAGTCGCGGTCTCAGTCTGTCAGACCAGCAAGCGACCCAGGCCTGGGATTACATTAATGAGATGGCACCTTGCGTTGCCGCTAGTAATCTCTTTGACTGGAAGACCTGGGACAGAGTGGAAAACCTCGTTAAGAGGTCCCAGGTAGAGAAGGGTAAGATCCCACCCCTGGGGGCTTTCCCTACGATCTCAGCCCTTAAAGACTATTTTCTCTCTCGACCCCCTCTCCCCGATAGGAGAGGGAGCTGCTCTGAACCTCCCCAGTTAGCTACCCCCCCCCCGCCCTAATAAGGAAACCATACAAAAGGAAAAAGATTCGCTGGAGGCCTTACAAAGAAAGGAGAGCCTGCCAGCTCCTAGGGGGAATCTTTATCCCTCCCTAGATCCCTTTGAGGCAGCCCCCTGGCCCTCTAAACCCCCCGTTAAAGGGGAGATGGGGGACAATCAAAATTCCCCCCTGGGGGGCACATCACCGCCTGATTATAACAATGAGGAAAAATATCAGCTTAGGGAACCTCAATTATATCCCATCAATGTCAACCCGGGGGGGGGGGGCAACGCCCAGATGGCTGGTATCCATGGGAGGCCTCCGACCTTAAGGAGTTGAAGAAGGCTGTCGCCGAAGATGGCCCCGGATCCCCCTGGGTAGAAACCCTGTTGCAAGGTTTGGTCTACCAGCCATGCACCACCTGGGATTGGACGGATCTTGCTAGGGCTGTCCTCCCTAGTCCCCTCTTTATCAAATGGTCAGCTCTATATAAAGAGGAGTGCCGTCAACAGGCAGAGACTAACCTGGCCGCTAATTCTCCAATACCTATTACCTTCAGTATGTTAACAGGAAGTACTGATGCTTATGCTACTAGGGCCCAACAGGCCACCATTCCCCCCCCCCCATATCCCGATCAGGTCAGAGCCCTAGGCCTGTTGGCATGGCGGAAGCTAGACTCTGGTCCCACTGAACCTGCCATCTGTGGGATATACCAGAAGGTGGGGGAACCCCTTCATGAGTTCGTGGATAGAGTTGAAAAAAGCCTTAAGAGAAAGTTCCCCCCGGGGCCATTGCGAGATCAATTTGCAAAGATGCTCATATGGGACGGCATGGATGCCAACCACTGTATGGCGTGTGCTGGGCTTAGGGAATGTTCCATCAGCCGGTGGATAGTGGCCTCCAAAGATGTGGGGACAAAGGTAGGACAGACCCAGGCCATGTCAGCCATCCTTCAAGCCCAAACACAGGCCCTCACACAGGCACTCAAGGATGCCTTCCCCAAGGAGGAGTCCATTAACCCACAGGGGAAGGGATGCTGCTTCAATTGCGGCCAGACGGGGCATTTCCGCCGACAATGCCCTAACCTGTGTCCCAGAGACAGCCCCAAACCAGCCCAGGATGCCCCCCGTACCCCGTGTCCTAAGTGTAAAAAGGGATTTCATTGGGCCAAAGATTGCAGATCAAAGTATAACATACGAGGAGAGCCTTTAAACTCCTCGAGGGGCGCCCCCCCAGCCCTGTTAAATAAGGGGAGGAAAAGCGTACAGGCCCATTGGACAGTTCCTCTCATCCCTGGGCTGAGGCCCAAAATGACTCTAACCATTGGAAATAAAGCCTTCAAATCTCTCATTGATACTGGGGCGGATCGTACTGTGATTAGAAAGGAAGAGGTTCCCCCCTCTTGGAAGTTGGTCCCTGGCCCCCCCTCCTTGGGGTGGGGTGCCAATCCACTTCTTGGGAGACAGCCACTTGGCTACCTTGGGAGGATCCTAATGGATGCCATGGGGAAATCATCCCGTTGGTTGTCTCAGGGCTAACGGCTAACCTCTTAGGACAGGATATTCTGGGGGAGGCTGAGGCCTTCATCACTACAGATCATAAGGCCTTCTACAACGACCTCCTCGACCATGAGGAGTTCCAACAACAATTTGGGGATGAGGGGGCCGCTCACTCTAATTATAGGGATGACCCCTACTTTGAACATCTTAGAAACAGGCACCCCGGGGTGCACCCCCAATCCTAAAGGCCACTGCTCCACCCCCGCCATTCCTGATTACATGGATCTTGAGAGACCCTATGTGAGTTGAGCAGTGGCCTCTACCCTCTAATAAACTACAGCAGCTCTATCAGTTGGTTCAGGGTCAAATAGATCTTGGATACATTAAGCCCTCCACCAGCCCCTGGAATTCCCCTGTCTTTGTCATAAAAAAGAGTAATGGGACCTGGAGGCTCCTCCAGGACTTAAGGGAAATCAACAAGAGAATGGCCCCTATGGGCACCCCCCAGAGAGGGATGCCCTGGATCCCCACAATCCCTGTTTCTTTCACTTTGGCTACCATAGATTTTAAAGACTGTTTCTTCTCAATAACTCTACATCCAAAAGATACAGAAAAATTTGCCTTCTCAGTGCCCTCATTAAATTTCAGAGGGCCAGACCTAAGGTTTGAATGGTCCGTTTTACCGCAGGGAATGGCTAACAGCCCTGCCATCTGCCAGTATTATTTGAGCCATATCTTTGCCCCTATGATGAAGAGGCCAGATGTTCTATTTTACATTTATATGGATGATATAATTTTGGGGAGCCTGGATCCAAATGACCTTCATGGTCTAATTTCCAAGTGTATAGCCCTCTTACAAGACCATAACTTCAACGTGGCCCCGGACAAGATTCAGACTGTCCCACCACTAAAAATATTGGGGGCTTCTCTCTCACTCGATGCCATGTCACCCAATAAGCCACAGCTCGCCTCTCAGGACACCTTCAACCTTCCTCAGCTTCAAAAACTACTCGGAGAGATCAATTGGCTTAGACCCTGGATCTCTATATCTGCTGAGGAATTAATTCCCTTATTTGACCTCTTGAGAGGCCTTGACTTAACCTCCAGGATGAAGTTACCACCCCAGTGCCTACAAATTCTGGCTAAAATCCAACAATCCATAAATGATGCCACCCTAAAGAGATTTGATCCTAATGCCCCCATATATCTTTGTCTCTTCATTGGAAGCACACTACGCACTGCTCTCTTGGCACAAGAGGGCGAGCCATTACAATGGATCCACTTATCCGTGGGTGGAACGCCTCGAGTTTATTCCATGGTCAACCAAATTGCTGATTGCATTATCAAGGGTAGGGACACAGCAGTCCAATTGTTTGGCATTGAGCCTCATACCATTATTACCCCCTATAGATTGACAGATTTTACGTGGCTTCATAGAAACAATGAGAGAATGGCACTGGCTCTGGAGGGATTTTTTGGCAAAATTGACTGCCACTATGGCCCTTACAAGTGGATGAGCTCCTTCTTGAGGTTGGAATGGGAGCCCCCTAGACCCCCCTAGACTCTTTTTTTCTCAACCCAATCCTAAATTCTTAACTGTGTTCACTGATGGAGGGCGTCTGGGAGTCTCTCTGGTCATCTATCCCCCCTAAAACAGGGACAAACTCCTGTACCCATTAAATCAGTCTCCCGCCAGGTTGAGGGATCGCCACAATTTAAAGAGCTCTTTGCTGTTGTCATGGCGTTGGACTCCATATCTGGGCCTTTCAATCTAATTTCAGACAGCCTATATGTGATTAATTTACCGCCCCACCTAGTGGAGGCTCATATTAGATTAAACTCCAACCCCATATCTCCTCTTAGACTCCAACCCTATATCCCCTCTGATGATTCAGGCCCAGACTCTACTTAAACTCAGATTAAATCCAATATACCTCCAACATCTTAGAGGCCATCAAAATATGCCAGGATTTCTCTCAGAGGGAAATAAGATAGCCGACCAACTGGCCTCTTCTTGCCAGGGCTACACAACCTCTGAGGCTACCCGATTTCACCAATTAACACATGTTAACTGGAGAGGACTTAGACAAAAATTTCCTCAAGTGCCAATTAAAGACTTAAAAAAAATCGTCTGCACATGCCAATCCTGTCAGCCCTTCCTTCAGGTTCCCCCACTCCAAAATACGGGAGTCAACCCCCGAGGCCTCCGACCCAACCATTTGTGACAAACCGATATCACACATTATGCCCCCTTTGGAAAATTAAAGTATGTCTTCCTGTCTGTCAGTTCTTTTTCACACTCCTGGCAACTGCCCATGCTGGAGAAAAATCCAGACATGCAATTAGTCATATATTATAGTGCTTTGCCACCCTTGGGTTACCCAATCAAATCAAGACAGACAATGGCCCCTGCTTCACAAGCAAGCCATTTACTAAATTCCTCCAAACATGAAAAATCCAACACTCCACAGGCATCCCCTACAATCCTCAGGGGCAAGCCATTGTGGAGAGAGCCAACCAAACTTTAAAACGTCAATTACAAAAACAAAAAGGGGAGTCCCTGCCCCCCCATGATCAACTAAAAAAGGCCTTATTTACCTTAAATATCCTAAATTTTTCCAAAGAAGACAAATATTTGTCTCCCTTCCAAAAACATTGGTCCTCATCTACCAGCTACAGTTCCATTTTGGTCAGATGGAGAGACGCACTCACTGGAGCATGGAGAGGACCAGACCCACTTCTTACAGTGGGAAGAGAGTTTGGATGTGTATTCCCTCATGATGAAAAGAAGCCCTTATGGGTCCCGGCGAGAGATATCAAATACATTCCTCAAACCAGTGAGGCCAAAAGAAACTAATCCACAAAAAACATAAATAATCCTTTTCCCCAGGAGTACAAAATGGTCAGATGGATAGACCCACTCACTGGAGCATGGAGAGGACCAGACCCACTTCTTACAGTGGGAAGAGGGTTTGGGTGTGTATTCCCTCATGATGAAAAGAAGCCCTTATGGGTCCCGGCGAGAGATATCAAATACATTCCTCAAACCAGTGAGGCCAAAAGAAACTAATCCACAAAAAACATAAATAATCCTTTTCCCCAGGAATACAAAACCCCTGAGGGAGACTCTATTCTTTCGTTACAGGTGAAAAAATGTTCCTGATCCTGACCAAGATGGTGTATTGGAGCCTATCCCTCTGGCTATCCATCCCTGAAGTAGAGGGAGACAGAAGTAGCATCATGTTCTGGAGATTCAGCATTAAAAATAAGGAGGGAAAAGTCCTGGGGACAGGAGATTGCCCCCTTAAAGGGTGCCAATCGGCGGTAATTATTGAATTGCCTAATCTTCAATATCACCCTGCAGATTATATGTGTTTCCCCTATAGAAACACCAACACAAGTTGCTTAGCGGAGGCCAATATATATGGAGGGTGCCGTACCTGGGGATGCAAGATGAAAGAGGGTTGGGTCCCGGACACTTCGGGAACTCATCTCTTCTTAAAAGCTTGGAGTCATCAAAAACCCCAGTTTGTTGTGCCTGACCCCTGGAACGAGAGGTGGCGCTCGGGAGTACAGGGTAAATATTATCACAGTGGCCTCAGCTGCCCCAGCACCCCTTCTGACACCTGGCTAATAGCCCAGGCCCTGACACTCCCCGACAGAGGGGTTATAGTAGATCATGACATCCTATCCCAGGAAAAAGAAACAGATAAAAAACTCAGGGAGGTTATTACCTGGCCTCAATACATCCAATATGTAGTTGACCTCCTGCCCCTCACCACACACCCTAATGCTTCAGATTGCTTCTTTTGTGCTTCCCCCACTCGCTCCTTGCTGGCAGCTGTCCCTATTAACACAAGTCTCGGCCCCACTCCTGTACCAGCCTCCATCAGGGCCCCCCTTGAAAACGTTCCCCTATTCCAACAGATGGAGACGTTTCCCTGCTGTCTCATCAGCCCTATCCAGGCTAATCCGACCCCCCCAAGATAGACCTTAAAAAAATGTGTAAACAATGTCACTCTTTCTAAAGCAACCTGTGCCCCTCCACCCAGTCTCCTCTGGTGTGATGGAAGACTAACCCAATGTTCAAACCAAACATCTGCCTCTATCTGCCTTCTGGTCACGGTCACTCCCCAAGTTTATCTTTATGAAAAATACAAGGCTGCAGCACTGGTGACACCTCACCCCCAAAGAGCCGTTTTTGTCCCTCTACTTGTGGGATTGGGTCTGGCTTTCTCCACAGCAGCAGGAGGAACCTCGGTCACATCTATGGTCCAGACCTCCCACCTGGCAGCAGACTTTGCAGATAAGCTGGAGAGGGTGATGGCCTCTACAGCCTCCAGCCTCGAGTCACTTCAGAGACAGATGAACTCACTGGTGGGGGTGGTACTCCAAAATCAGAGGGCGCTGGACTTATTAACAGCTGAACAAGGGGGCACCTGCGTCTTGCTGGGGGAGGAGTGTTGTTTCTATGTAAATGAGTCTAATCTGGTAGAAACCAATGTCAAATCTCTTAAGGATCTCCAAAAGGAATTAAGAGACCAGCTCAAAAACCAAGAAATGCTATCTGGGTTAGGGCCCACCCTGGGGGCCTGGCTTCTCCCATTGATGGGACCACTTTTAACATTAATGACCTTCCTAACCCTAGGCCCATGTGTCCTTAACAAATTGTCCTCATTCACCAGGGAAAGAATTGAGGCGTTTCATGTCAACCAAGTTGAGATACATTATCAAAGATTGGCCTGTTCCCCTAATGAACCTCATGAGCCTCCCCTCCAGGAACCCATCCAATGCCAATGAGCCATATGAACCTTCCCTCCAGGAACTCTGTCAAGAGGCCCTGCCCCTTGAGAGTCTCGAGTCTAATGATGGGTAAGATCCCTCCCAGGCTGATGAACCTAAGACAGGGGCCATGAAAGACTATCATGGTTACCCGAGGATGGGCAATTTCAAAACCTGAGGAGGGACAACCTAAGACAGGACTTGAGACCCAGTCTTTCAGCTGAGCCCCATGTTACTCAATGATGGGTAAGATCTCCAGATGGAGACAACCTAAGATAGAAAACATGGCTGATATAATATATAAAGGGGGAGATGTTGGGGCTGCCTGATACAGCGGCACCTTGGGTCTATGAGTTCCGAGAAACCTCCGCAGCCTGACCTAGAGTCAGCCCGCCTGTCTGGTCACTTTCAATCACTCGTCAAGATGGCGACTGGCGGAGGTTGGAGGGGAGGGACGAAAAGGCCGATCACCTGTACAGGATTGGCTCTGTCAGGCCCTTCCTCATTCCTGGCCCGCGGTGGGTGTGACCCCCTCGACCAATAGGTCAATTACACAGAAGGTGCCTGTCAATCATGAGCGCAATTTCCCGCCTGTGGTTTCTGTCTTTAAATATCAGCTCCTGCTACAATAAAGTGTGTTCCTGCTCTGACTCGGCACCTGGCTCTGTGTGCTTCTTTCGAGCCGTGCGCTCACCATCCCGCTCAGCCCCTGGGGAAAATGGATTATCGGCTGGCTCCGAGGATCCCCTTTTTCCCTCCCCGTATGTCGGAACCCGACACCTTAAGACACATGGAGTATCAACTATGCTCTTTCTAATAGGAGAGAGACATAGGAGGGGAACCCAGAGGATGAAAGAGTGTGTTTATTTATGCAACTGTATGAGTGATGTTGCAGGCAGTGAGAGGCATGACAGAATGAAGATAAATTTTCAGGAATTTCCTGTATCACCACAGCCTGCCCATTGGGTAGATAGGTCTAACACTTACAATCATCAGTTTCCATGTGCTCCAAGTAGTCCTTAGCACTGTGGATATTCTGGGCAGTGGCCTGGATTGAGGCTCCAGCTTTCCAGATGCTTACTGTGTCAGAAAAGGCAATGATGTTGAAGTAGTCATTGGTTTGCAGGTCACTGAGGTTCATGTTCATAGCTTTTTTAGTCTATAGGATATGGGTGAAGAGGAGATGAAACAAGATTTGAGATCTATGAACCTTAAAGACTCTTTTTATACAAAACTCTGATGTCTAAGTGCTTTATGGTTTTCACCATATTTGACCTCAGTGTTCTGTGAGCCTAGGGCATCAGGTCAAAATGCTTGACAGACTTCATGGTAGGCTTAGAACTTCGCTGTCCAATATGATAGTTACTAGCCAGATATAACTTATTTAAGTTGAAATGTAAGTTAGTTAAAATAAGAGAAAAATTTAAACTCAACTTTCAAAAGCCACATTTCAAATGTTCAATGACTACATGTGGACAATGGTTATTATAGTATTAGGTAGTAAAGAATCTGAGATCATCAAGAAAGTTCTAATGGAGCCAGGTATGGTGGTGCATTCCTTTAAAACAGCACTCAGGAGGCTGAGGCCAGAGGATTGTGAGTTCTAAGCTAGCCCTGTCTCAAAAAAAAAGAAGAAAGAAACAAAACAAATAAACCAACAGAAAACATAAAAAAGAAAGATCTGTTGGGTGGCATCACTCTAAAGATTTCCATCTATGCTTTCTAGAACTCTAGAATTTATGTTTTTATGCTTCCTGACCCTGTGATCCTGGATTCAGTGATTTCTGTGCCCTGTAGTCTGAGGATCTTGTCATCCCAGGTCCTTTTTTTTACTCTTAGTGACTTGGCATGCTTTAGTTTATTTCCAATTTGCTTTTCACCCTCACTCTCCCTCTATTTCTTTCAGACTTATCTTTTCATAATGTTCAGGATGATCCAGATTCCATATCACTTCCATAATTTTGCTCTTGTGCCTTTTAGAGAGCACACCATCTCTCCTTTCTTTATTTAATTTCTTCACTCTTCTTTCAGTTGCCACTTCTCTGGAAAGCACTTTAAAAGTTTCATTTATTTATTATTTTTATTTCATGTATATGAGTGTATTGCCTGGTGTGTGTAAGTGTACCTGTGTCATATAATGCCTGTGGAGGTCAGTAGAGGGTGTCAGATCCCCTGGACTGGAGTAATGGATGGTTGTTAGCTGCCACGTGGGTGCTGGGAATTGAACCCGGATCCTATGCAACAGCAGCCAGCGTTCTTATCTGCTGAGCCATCTCTCCAGCCCTGAAAACACTTTCTTGAGCTGTTAATTTTCATTCTTCTCATCTATTCCAATATTCCCTTTCACAGATTTTTCACTAATAGTCTTAGGTTTTCCACTCTCCAATCACATATCAAGCCCTTTGGCAGCAAGGCTTAGAATGCTTCCTCTTCCTATCTTTCTTTCCCATGACAGTACTGACAATAGTGCTAGGAATACAGGAAATTCAGGGAATATGGTGAGGAGATTCTAGCATTAGGTTCCAGATATTGCTAAATACTTAGCTGCACCAGCTCATTTAATCCTTACACAAACGCAATGAAGAACACACTATTATTATCCCCATTTCCAGGTAATGACACTGAGGCTCACAAAGATAATCACTGGTTCAGGGCCACACAGCTAGTAGGTGATGGATCAGAGAAACACAATTCATGTTTGAGAAGTGTTAAATCCAGTGAGCATAAGCACAGTGTTATAACATCAACTGGTTATACAGGTATGGATTTCAGAGACCACAGGAAGGACATTTGAGATCTATCTTTCTCTATACCTTAAAGTAATGCTAAGCAGATAAGTGCTTTTCATGCTATTGGGAGAACCTGGGATAGGACATACATCCTACTATAGGAAGCTGAGCACCATACTCTTATTTTCATCAAGAGGATTGAGATTTAAGAGAGAACATCAGCAAAAAAGCAAAATTCTATGGGGGCCTAGAAGATTGAGCCTCTTGTCAATCAGGGAAAGATTATGGTTTAAGAAGTATATTGTTTAGTCTTTAATTTCTAATTGTTTTGAGATTTCCAAGTTACCTTTGTTACTGATTTTTTCATTTGATTTGACTTGATCTAAGAGCATACTTTGTATGATTTATATTGTTTTAAATGTTACAATATTGAAATGGTTAATATTGATTGACAACTTCATTGGGTTGAAACATCAAGGATATTAGATATTTGGATGTATCTATGAAGGTATTCTCAGAAGTGATGGAGTCATTAGTGTTCAGATCTACTCGATCTTGATGGATTCAGATTTTGAGTCAACTCTTGGGATATGGTAAAACTGTGGCAGGTGGGCCTGCTTGAAGAGTAGGTCACTGGTGTTATGGCTTTGAAGAGCATGTCTTGTCTGTGCCCCCTTCCTCTGTTTTATCTGGCTTCCATAAGGTAGGCAGTTTTCCCTTTCTGTGACTTTCCTCTATGATGTGTCTGCCCTGCCATGGGCCTAAAAATAGTTGAGCAAGGTGATCTTGGTATGTAACATCTGAAACTATGAGCCAAAATAAACTCTTCCTCCTTTTAAATGGTTTCTCTCAAATATTTGTAATGCTAATGAAAAACTGATGATTTTTGGCCTGTTAGTGAATGTTCCATGTGCTCTTGACAAGAATGTGTATTCTGTTGTGGGTACAAATGCGAATTAGATACTATTGACTTATGGCGCTGTTCAGACCAATTATGTGTTACTGATGTTCTGCCTGTTGGATCTGTCAGTTACTGACATAGGGATGATAATTGTGGATTCATCCTTTTCTCCTTTCAGCTCTATAAGTTTTTGTTTTTTGTTTTGTTTTGTTTTTTTTGGTATTTTTAAATAGGGTCTCCTTGTAGCCCCAGCTGGCCTGGAACTCACTATGTAGACCAGGCTGGCTTTGAACTCACAGAGACCCAGCTGTCTCTGCCTCACGAGTATTGGGATTAAAGGCATGTGCCACTCTGTCAGGCAATGTGTAGCCCAGGCTGGCCTCAAACGCATGACCCTCCTGCCTCTGCCTCTTCAGTATATCCTACCAGTATATGCCACCACAACTGTTTATTTTAAGTCAACTTTTGTCTTTGTATTTAAAATGAATTCCTTGTAAGTAGCACATAGTTGGGTTTCATTTTATTATCCATGATGACAATCTCTGTCTTATGTTGGTGTACTAAAACCATTTATATTTTAAAGTTTATTAGTATAGTTACATTAATCTTTGCTGTATTTTAAATGCTTTGTATTTGCTGCCTTCATTTATTTTTTCTCTACTCAATTTCTGTAATCTCTAGTCTTGAACATTTTACATAACCTCATTTTTTTCTTGTTTGTTAGCATGCCCATTAGACTTATAGAAAAAAATTGTAGTTGTTGGCCTGGAGTTTACATTATGCATGTATATAATTCAGGTCTTTTTAAAAAATTATTTATTATTTTTATTTTATGTGTATGCGTCTATTTCCTGCGTGTAGGTAAGTGCACCCGTGTCATGCAATGCCTGTGGAGGTCAGAAGAGGCTGGCAGATCCCCTGGGACTGGAGTTGCGGACAGTTGTTAGCTGCCATGTGTGTGCTGGGATATGAACCAGGGTCTACTGCAAGATCAACCAGTGTTCTTAACCACTGAGCCACCTCTCCAGCCCCAATTTAGGTCTTTTAATCAATACTCTACAGGTGGTTTCATAGTATAAATAGCCTGTAATAGGGCACTTCAACTTTTCCTTCTAATCTCTTACAAAACTGCAGCCCATTAATTGTACTTATCCATCTCTTAGCTATTGTGAAAAGAGCAGCTACAAACATGGATGTATAAGTGTCGCTGCAGTAGGAAGAGTTCTTTGGGTACATGCCAAGGAGTTGTATAACTGGATCAAACGGTAGGTTCATTTGTAGTTTTTTAAGAGTTCTCCACACTGCTTTCCATAGGGATTGAACAAGTTTGCAGCCCCGCCAGCAGTGGATGAGTGTTCCCCTTTCCCCACATCCTCTCCAACATTTGGTATCATTT